CGGGTGGCAAGCTCTCTCCGCTCCCACTTCTCTACATCTAGCGCAGGGAACCAGCGAGCAGGTCTTGAGATGCAGCAGTGACAGCAAACGGACAAGGGTGAAGGCGACGAGGAGGCGAGGACGGCACGGGGTCGCCCCGGATCAGACGGTGCCTCCGGCGCTGGGGAGAGCAGGGAGGGACGGGCTGGGGCGGCGGCGGAGGAAAGCAGAGGAAGGGGCCCTGCGAGACCCCGGCCGGGCGAGGGACTGACCCAGCAGCAGTTCTCTAAGTCATTTGATGTGGCGCTTCCAGCATTTCCATCAAGAAGGTGTCGATCGGCGTGTCGCCTATTAGCTTGAAGAAGAAGAGGTGCTCCAGGCATTTCAGGCCGATGGACCGGAGGGCTGGGAGACGGAGCAAGAGCTTTGCGAACCTGGGGAAAGGAGACACGACATGGTCAGATATCCCACCCTTCTGCCCTGACTCCCAAAGCTTCTGTGGCCACTCTTGCTCAGGAGGGCTGGGAGTCAGACACAATCTCTTTTGCTACCGAAGTCATGGGGCTACACCCTGAGCTGTGCAGAGAAATCATTAATTATGTCCCCAGCCTTGAAGATCAGGCAGCCACAGTGGATATTCACAACAAACATCTGCTGATAGCTGAGCTGGAAGAGTAAAATCAGAAATGAAAGGCCCTCCCTGGACTGGGGTGCACCACAGGCTTTATGCATTCATGCTCCGGGGAGACCTTCTCGCAGTCTTCCAGTACCTAAAGCTGGAGAGGGGCTTTTTATAAGGACTTGCAGTGATAGCACAAGGGGCAATGGCTTTAAACTGAAAGAGGGGATCTGACTTCAATTAGATCTAAGGAAGAAATTTTTTACATTGAGGGTGGTGAGGCACTGGAACAGGTTGCCCAGAGAAGTTGTGGCTGCCCCATCCCTGGAGGTGTTCAAGGCCAGGTTGGATGAGGCTTTGAGCAATCTGATCTAGTGGAAGGTGTCCCTGTCCATGGCAGGGGGGTTAGAACTACATGATCTTGAAGGCCCCTTCCAACCCAAACCATTCCATGACTTTATGATTTGTGTCACATGTGCATTACTGTTCACTGAGCACCCCGAGATGCTCGTGGGTTTGCTACACCGCAGCCACGGGGAGGAGGCACCACGGGCCCAGCCTTGTCCCAGGCTGCTGTGCAAGCAGCTTCAGCAGCTCAACTCTGACTCAGGGAAAAGGCCAAGCAGGCGAGGAGGGGCTGGAGGAGATGCTGAGTGGGTGTACCTGGCACTTTGCTCAGTGATGCCCCTTTCCTGCAGGCACTGGGTACCATCACTGGGGCTGCTTGTTGTCAAGCCCTGTGGGCTGCTGGCCTGGCAGAAACCCACACCCCAGGGGTGAAGTCAAGGGAAGGAGATGGGGCTTCGGTGCAAAAGCTGGAAGCAGCGCTGCAAACCAGATGGAACAGGGGATTTCTCCCCTTCTCCCTGCCCGGTGCGGGGCTCTGCCAAGCCCCAGCTGAACAAAAGCCCTTTCTCCCCAGCCTGCCTGGCGGAGACGCTTGTCAGGTCGCACCCCAGATGCTGGCAAGAGCCGACACGCAAAAGGGTTTCACAGGCGGGCAGGGGAGAGCCAGGGGGGCTGGGGAGAGCCGACAGCACGGCAGGAGCAGGGGCGAAGGAGACGAGCCCAAGGGCCAGCTGGCCGAGCCGGGGAAAGGCTGCTGGGTGTTGGATTCCGATGATGGCAGGAGGCTGCAGAGCCAGGAGAGAGCCACCAGTTCCTGCAAGTGTGCTCCGAAGCACCCATCGGTGCGACCCAGGAGCGCGCCCACCCTGCCTGCCCATGTCCCAGGGGTGCAGGCAGCAACCTCAAGCACTGCAGGATGTCACCTCCCCGCTCTCAAAACGGGGAAAAGGCCCTTTAATGGTGGAGAACGCATTAATTTGTTTTTACTGCTGCACAATCAGGGCTTGGACATAAGCAAAGGCCAGAACCAGCCCAGGGAGAAGGGGACTCTCTGCAAAACACACACAGAGACATGCACAAACATACAGACATTATACATGCATGCACATCTCTCTCTCCCCATTTTTTTTTTTTTTCTGCTGAGCTGGCGAGAACGGTGGGAGCAGAGCCAGGAAAAACAAATCAGTCCTACCATCCCATTCAGGAAGTTTCACTTTAAACCAAACCAGATGATGGCTCCAGCCCTCGGATATGTTTAACTGTGAGATAACCAGCCCGCAGCACAATGTGCCAGGGCTGCGGCCAGCCTGGGAGAAAATAGCCCTGATTCCCTGTGGCTGCTCGGTGTCACACCCGCACCGTGCCCTCCCTGCAGCAGAGCAGGGGCTGGCATGGGGGCAGCATGGCTGGGTTTTTCCTAGGAATGCGTCCCTCCATCCAGCTGCTGCAGAGAAGTTCCCTTTTTGTATTTACACGGTGCTCGGGAGCTCTTGATGGCCGGGGACCGGGCTAAAGCCACGCACCAAAGAGCACCCGAAGCGGTGGGGAAGCCAACCGCTCACCGCGGCGTGGAGCAGGGGAGGGCGACTGCCATGGGCTCGACCAGGCGTTTGCTCAACCACAGGAAGAACTTGTTTCCAGCCCCAGCTGGTGATCACATCGTGCCATGAGACCAGCAGGATGGAGAGAGCTCCTCAGAGCTTCGTTTAGCTATTGTGCAACTCTCCCAGCCCACGAGTTAACCCTCCTGAGCCAACCATGCTTATTCCACCACTGCCCTGAACCACAGAAGAGATGGAGTAAGGTCAGCAATGCCCAGTTGCAGCTCTCAAGACAGCCCTAAGCGTGCAAAACCTTTAAGGTCATCAAAGAAAGGTGCGAGATCACACAAGCAGGTTCTCATCCCAACGTCATTCAAAGCCAGATCAAACTCCAGCACCCTTGGCACAGGCTACCGGACCTAAAATGTTCCCTTGCACATCCCTGACCATTGAGGTAGAGCCCTGAGGAACAGATTTTGGCTGGCGGCTCAGCGACTTGGCTCAGTCATGCACAGCAGCTTCGTGGTGTTTGGGTGGACGAGGAGCAGGGCTGGTGCCCCTGCCCAGCCCCTGCCCAGCCCAGCCTGCAGCAGTGAGGGCAGCACGACTCCGCCGTGGACACCGGGCACCTGTGAGAAGCAAAGAGTGTATCCCATCCGGGGAATAAGCCGGGAGAGCTGCTGGCTGCGATTCCCCAGGCAGCTCTCCTTGTGCCAGGTACGGCTGGCTGCTCCTTGTCAGCTTCAAGGGGAGGAGAACTCTTCTGAAACACCAGAACAGCCAAAGTCCAGGGTCTGGATTTGCTTAGGAATTGCAATTTAATAACACTTTTTTGGAAGAGGAGTCGGCTTGAGAGTTGGCCTGGGGTCCAAACAAACCACCCAGGGGAGGAGAGGTACCAGCCGGGCTCCATGCACCACGCTCACCCCTCGCTTCCCTCTTCACCACCAAGTCCAACACACCCAGCGGTACCTTCAGCCTCACTCCCTGCCAGAAGCCCACCACGAATGTCCAAGAAGCCCCTTTACAACGCGTCTTTTTTCATCCGCCAGCATATTGACACCCAAAGGGGAGAAAAAATAAATTCAATATTACTTCTAAGGGCGCGACCTGCCCATGTTGCTGTAAGAGCATCCTTTTTCATTCCAACCATCCAGACACACAAGACTGGGAATGCAGGTGAGATGCAAATCCCAGTTGCTTGGGCTGTTTTCCCCAACATTCAAGCCTCAGCGGTGATACGCACCAGCAGCAGTTTCCAGAGCTTTGCTTGGTTTCTCAAATGACTGTCAGTAACTTAACTGGCAGTTGCCAGCTTCAGGCTGTAACTGGGAAAATGCGCCCACTCAGCTCCAGAGCGGTCCAGGAAAGCATTCCTAATTCCCCCTCCCATTCCCAGCTGGATTGGGGGAGGCAGGGAGGGGAGAAAAGAGCATCAATTGAGGCTTTCACTTCCCAGCAATGATGCTCATCTGCCACTGAAAATTAACTCCGTGTGCGTCTTATTTTCACTGTGGTTTGCTCTCGGCGGTTGCCAAAAGGGAAATGATACCCCTTCCCCCATGTGCTCATCCCACCGCTGCGGCCGCGGGAGCCACGGCTCCTCAGGTCTCCCGACCGTGTCCCGGCTGCGTTGCGTTTCCTGGCATGGGAATAAAGATCTCTCTGCAATTCACCGGGTGCGGTTTCTAAGGACGTTCACAGCTGAAGCAGGTAGAAATGAGTAGTTTTCCCTGCAAAGAACTGTTCATTCCCAAAAGACGTGGGAACGGGGAGCTCTAAATGGAAGGGATCCAGTATCCGTACACTGCAGCGACCGTGAGGACGGCACTCGGACCTCATCCTGGGCTGCAGCACCCTTTGCACCAGCTGCAGCACCCATTGCACGGGGCTTCACAGGGGCACGAGGCTGCAGGAGAGGGCCAGGCAGCGACTCACCTCCCGGGCTGGTCGGGGTATTTGTGTTTGCAATACGCCTCTAGCGACGCGTACACCTTCTCCCGCAACGCCTCCACCTCGGCCGGGTTGGAGAGACCTTTTGAGTCTGAAAGGCAACGAAAAGACCATCAGTCAGAAACCTTCAGGGTTTCCAGGCAGGCAAGGACCCCCCTGTGCATCCCCTGGCACGTATAGCCCACTCCATCCCTCCCTGCACCACCAGACCAGGGCACAGCACGGACACGGGGTCTGAGCCCCAGGAATTTGGGGCAGTACCCAACGCCTCCCGGGGCGCGTTCAAGCCCTGAAAGGTTCGCCCTGTGACTACAGACCTGTTTTACTCCACCTCATACCCCAACTGCAACCATTGTCCAGTGGTCAGAGACCCTCACGAAAAGGGTTTAAGTCCCCCTCAAGTCCTGGGCTTGCGGGATTTCTCCCCCCAGCACGAAGCACCGTGGCAGGGCTGAATGAACAGCCCCGGCTCTAGCAGGTCCCCCACGCCACGGCCAGGATCTGCTTTCAGTAGGGTGAAAGGGACAGTCGGGCAATCGATATCCCCAAGCACATGCACCACGGGAACCTCTCCAGATTCCCCTTCTTTTACCATATACGGCTAATCCCAAATTACAGACAATAAATTACAAGGTGGGTGGAGGGAAGAAAAGTCAAGCAGAAAAACAAACCCAAGAAACAGCAATAAACCCTGCTGAAATGCCCTGGCTTG